AATACGATACATTCTAAACCAAAATGTTCCGAAGTTAGAACCATTTCGTACAGGTCGAATACTTAGTACACATTTGCTTCATATATCAAACTCACATTGCAACCTTAATTCTGATACCAATCTTCAAATTTCATTTCGTTTGTCCAACACAAAAAATGTAATTTTTAGTACATTTTAGTACTTTTCGTACCTTTTTTAGTACGAATTTCCAAAACCACGTCCTTAACATAAACTTACCACCAACAGGGACCCCAAAACAAAATTTCAAAATTCAAGCTTCATCCGTTCATCCTAAACCAAACTGTACAAAATTTAGTACCATTTAGTACAGTTCGGGCACGTAGCATACATTTCCGAAACCATATTCAAAATCAAACTTACTTTCCAACCTTGATTCTCATAACAATTTGCAAGTTTCAGCCCTATCGGTTCGCTTAATACCAAATGGTACCATTTTAGAATTTTTCATTCGAATTTCCAAAAACATTTTTGTACATATATCCTGCACTCCATCAGTGACTCTCATTTCAAATTGTAGAATTCTAGCTCATTCAGTTTGTCCAATACAAAAAATTAAATTTTTAGTACATTTTAGTGCTTTTCGTGCCTTTCTAATTCGAATTTCCAAAAATCCAGCCGTGTATTGCACCCTCGTGTGTCCAATGGAGGAAAATTAAACGGCTTTTGAACCACAGTGTAATACTTTCCTAGACCACGTTGATCACATAAACGTCAGCTCTGACTGAATAGCGGTCATTTTAAACCACGACATGATAGCTGAAACGATCAACAAGGGGGAATGGCGGTGAAACAAGCAATCGATTGTTTATTTTCAACTCTTACTTATATTTTTTTAATTTTTTGCAAGTTCTTGTCTAGCTGGAGTACAAACATTAAAGGAACTAAACAAACGTACATATTTATACAGAATATACACACACACACACTCAACACTTTACTTCAATTGTACAGTACATACATATGTACAATGTACATACTACTCCCAATATTGCAACAAACATTGACCACAACAACAAAACAACACTTGTTGTTTATCCGCCTATTTGTCAGTCTAGCTAGTCCAATCATAATATTAATTCTCCTATGTTCAAGTGCCAGAGTGAGTTTGGCCGAGTGCGTGTGTCTGTGGATGTGTGTATGTGTGAGTGCGTTGGGTCCGCAATGCACAGCCAAATAGCCTCGCTTTTAGCCACATATAAATAAGGAACATTTATTGTTTCTCAGATTTACTAGTTTCATGTTCTAAACAACAGTCGTACGAACCGAACCGATCGAACACTGCTCTCAAGTCTCGCTTGTGGTTTAATTAATACAAAACGAAAAAAAACAAAACCAAAAAAAAAATGGAAGTGAAAATGACAATAACGGGGTTTTAATGCAGAAATTAAAAAAAAAAAAACAATCGAAATTGTCTTAAATTTATTTAAAACTGTGAATATCGAATGAAAATTAAAACGGAAATGCGTTCTCTTGTTTAAAATTTAAAGCTCAATTGAAAATGGATTACTTTATAAGATCTATTACTTAGATCCGAAATTTACACCTAACCAAGAGAGGATTAATTTCTAAGATATATTACCTAGATCCCAAGGACATTTAATACAAATTTATGGAAAATATTCCCTAAAAATATTAAGTGATGTGTAAATGTGGAATTTATTTAAAAATAGTGAAAATGTAAAAATTGTACGGAAATAAATAAATCAAGGTGTTTGATTGTGGTACGAATAAAATATAACCTATTAAATAATTTTGAAATTTACAAAAATGTCGATAATGCAAACGACCAGGGTATCTCTACCACTGTGATTTTTAATATTAAATATTTTAAATATTCAAAAAAATGTGTGTCGTGTGATATTCGCACTAACCGATCGTACGAAAGTTTTTTTTTTTTACCGAAATAGCTCTATTGGTTTATCAAATACAATTGGTACCATTTTTAGTACCTTTTAGTACTTTTCGTACCGTTTCAAAAAAACCCAGACTAATCACACACCTTCGGACCACGAGTGAGCCTCACCCAAAACTTCAAGCTTCTAGCTTCATCCGTTTCGCCTGGGCGTAGATGAATCATCAATATACGTCCAGATGAAACGACTGCAGCTGAAATCTTAAAAATTTTGGATGGAGATCACTCTTAATCCAAAGGTTTCAGATAAGGCTGGGATTTTCGAAATTCGTACTAGAACGGTACGAAAAGTACTAAAATATACCACCATTGTATTTGACAAACCAGTAGAACTAGAACTCTTAAATTTGGAACGAGGAACACTGATGGAGTGTATGTTCCCAAGGATTTTTTGGAAATCCACACTATAGATGTACAAAACGTACTAAAATGTACTAAATTTGGTATCTTTCTGTGTAAACAGTTAGAGGTAAAAAATTAGAATTTGAAATGGGAATCAAGGTTGAGGAGTAGGATCGATGTAAGGTGGCAGTTTTGGAAGTTTGTACTCATGTACACGAAAAGTACTAAACCGTACTAAATGTGGTGCAATTGGAATTTGAAGGAAAGGATGGAGTTCGAATACTGAAAATTGAAATTAACGTTACTGGCAGAGTGTAGGATTGGGACATGCACATAAGTACGACATTTTGTACTTATGTGCACGAAAAGTAGAAAAAAGAGATAACAACTTGAAATTAGGAATGGGAGTCAAGATGGAAGAGTAGACTCGATGTAAGAAGCTAGTTTTGGAAGTGAGTACTCATGTATATGAAAAAGTACTAAGCGGTACTAAATGTAATACAATTTGAATTTTGAGGAACGGATGGAGCTAGAATTTAAAGTTAACATTGCTGGCAGTTTAGGCTTGGAATGTGGAGAAAGTTTTCGAAATTTGTACTTATGTGCAAGAAAAATACTAAATGGTACTACATTTTGGTACAATTTCCCATTTGGGTGAACCGAGGGAGCTGGAATGCTGAAATTTGAAAATAAGATTACTATTGCATTGTAGGATTGAGGGATGTAGGTAATTTTGGAAATTTGTACTGATGGGTTTGTTGAAATGTGTACCATAAATGTTCGAAACATACGAAATGGTACTAAATTTGATATTCGGTTAAGGGATGGGGCTGAAATCCTCAAATTTAATATTAAGGTATCTGGAATTGAGATATGGAGTTGGATTTGAAAATGTTTAACATAATTGTACACAAAGTACTAAATAGTACTAAATTTGGTATAAGATGAAGGAATAGGGCTTGAATCTTTAAATTTGATATTGAGATGTCTTTTGGTATCTGAAATTGAGATATGGAAGTGGTTATGGAAATGTGTACTACAGTGCACGAAGTACTAAATAGTACTATATTTGGTACAATTTGGTATTGAGTGAACAAATAGTGCTTGAAATCTGATATTTTGTATTAGGGTAGCTGTTCATGTGTAGCCTGGAAATATGGAGGTGCTTTCGGAAATGTGTACTATAATTGTACGAAACAAATTGAATTGTACTATATTTGGTATTGGGTAATTCTAAAATTTGGTGTTTAGATAACTGATGGTGGGTTTATGATTTGGCAGTGGTTTTAAAATGCGTCCTATATTTGTACGAAAAGTACTAAATGGTACTAGATTCGTTATTGGGTGAAGGGGTAAGGCTGAAATCTTGAAATTTGATATTGAAGTTTCTGTTGGTACCTGGAATTGATATTTGGAAGTAATTGTACGAAAAGTACTAAATAGTACTAAAAAGGCATAGTACGAATTGTTGGAACAAATCTAAAATTTAAGGGTGAACTTTTCACAGACACAGCAGATGACTCCTGCTAGTTCATATATAAACGAGTAGAGTTATGAGTCACTGACCGACTGAATCATAAAGACCCTGGCAAAATGGCTAAAGCTACATAAGGCATGTGGGTCCACGTTGGAGCGATAAGGCTGAGTTTTTGGAAATTCGAACTTGGAAATTCGAATTTATTGTATTGACCAAACGATATAATTAAAGTTTTTTTGGAAATTCGAAATAAAAGCGTACTAAAAAAAACTAAATTTGATTCAATTTGAAATTATGTGAACTGAGAGAGGTATAATCTTGAGATTTGGGAGTAAAGGTGTATATAAGGAGGTGTTTTTGGAAATTTAAGCTAAGTGTAAGGTGTAAATGATACTTACATTTTTTGGTTGAGATTTAAAAGTGGTTTTGGAGATATGTGCTAAAATGGTACAACATGTGGAATCAAGGGAAGGATAGAACTGAAAATCTGAAATTAGGAATGAGGTTTTATGTTTTTGAAGTTACCGATTTCTGTTGAAAGTTACCGATTTCTGTAGGTAACGACTAAAAAGAACTTAAAGCACGTTAATTGTTGCATACTTTTAGGCTCGTATAAGAATAACATCATTTATTGGAGACAATAGCCCTTGTTGTGTTCCAAGTAAATTTTCCCCATAACCGTCCTACATATTGATGGGCTTATAAAGAGATCAATTTTTGGATAATTTAGGAAGCATACGGGGTATATTCTAAGATTGTTAAACCTCTGAATTTTTGGAGAAACTTAGGATCCTATTTAAGAGCATCGGAGGTAATGTTCCACAAATAATTGCATTATCGACATTTTGTAAATTTTCAATATTAGAATAAAATAAATGTAAACAATTCTACCCACTTTAATCTGCAGCATTAACTATCAGCATGCTAAAGAATATTTTTTGTGAATAAAAATGAGAAAGAAATACTTCTTCGACTTTAAAGAATCCTAGCCACAATTATGCCATAAATTTAACAACAATCAACACATTATTCACCTTAATATAACAACACACCCCACAATCCCTCAAAATCTTACCCGGCCTCAAAAACTAAAAAAAAAACAGGAAAAATGCAATCCCATCAAGATTCCTTTGGTTCGGAGGCCATCAAAAATCGTGGCCATCGTCGTTCCGAGACATTGGGCAAGGCTATGCCCATAACCTCTTTGCTGCTGAATTACACCTCACCCTCGGCCATCCAGGGTTCCCATGATATACGCAGTGATGCCGGAGGTCGATCCAGAGCAATCGATGATTTATCACCGACTCGTAACGAATTGCCACCACAATTCTTTCCTGTACATGACGTGTCTCCACCCAGTGTGGAGGTCAGCAAACCACCCTCTGCCGATACGGACCCAGATGATTTAGATGCCATCGAACAGGATTATGAAATACTTATATCGGAATGTAGCAGCAGTTATGCCAGTAGTCATCACGATGATGGTGGCGATCGGCGTAAATCCAACTCGGATGAATACATTTCACTCATTGGGAATTCGAAATTTTACACACCATGCCAGACATGTGTGGGTTCGGCACCAAGCGATATGGCCGCCCGCCCTTTGGCCATAAATGAAATGTGTCGTCGGTTGTGTACCGAAGAGTGTCGTTTGCGTTTAAGTCTAGCCGGTCTGGTACCCACTTCCGATGCCATTGCCAAGAACCAAGAGGCTTTGGAAAATTATGTACAACATGCCATATTGGAGAAACCACCCAAACTGCCACCTAGACCGAAAAAAGAGGCGGAAAATGTGGAGAAAGTCCCTGAGGTGCCCAAACGACCCATGCCAGGGGCGATTGCCATACAACGGAAACAATTCCTTAATAATATCCTGGCACGCAAGGGTGATGAGTCGTTCAGCAGTAGCGACAATGAAGAGGGAGCCGCAACATTGGATCGACCACCCAAACAGTTATTGGATATTGTTGCCAACATCGTGGTGGCACCACCACCAACTCCATCTGTTTCGCCCTTGCCCTTGCCACACCACGACCACAATGTTTCCCAAGAACCATCCACATCTGAGGCAGCTGCTGCCCATAATAATGACGCTCTCATTGATCCACATGAAATGGCCATGCTCAAGGATTTTCGTGAGAAATTCGAAATAGCGGAAGCTCTTGCAAAGACCTCGGCAATGACCTCTACGTCGCAAATTAAACAACGTCTGGCCGCTCGAAAACGGGAAATTGAATTGGAGAACGCTAATGCCATCTTGTCTGGCGATGCTGAACATGAGTCGGAGCTTGAAAACGCCAACAGTGGTGATACAATTTGCGAACCTGCATCTACCGGTTTTGGTGGAGGCAAACAGTCGTCGTCGTCACAACAAATCAATAGCCGGCAGCAAGGTGCGCCCGCCAACAATGATGCCGTTACACCAGCTTTACGTTCAAAACAAGCGAATGCCAACAACAAACTGACTCAGAGACAGGCAGACACTGGGTCTGCTGCTGCTGTTGCTGACTATCACGAAGACTATGAGCCTCCACGCGAATTGCTGTTGTACCTTGTAAGGTAATTAATTTGATCGACATTATTGGCATGCCCACCAAACCAAATTTATTGAACAACAACAAAAATAAACTAGTAGTTTTTTTAAATATCGAACATAAATTAAGTGTAGAGAGATTGATAAGAGAATTTGAAGTGCGGATATTATCGTGTTGAGGTTTTTTGTTTCGATTGTGTTAATATTCAAAAACACTAGCCGACAAATGATTGGGTGTCAAGTTTTAGTAAATTCACATCAAGGTTCCAGAAAGAGAATTTCATGTAACGGAATTTTTCAATTCCCGGGAAATCGGGTTACGCCGTTTTTCACAGGTCCAAAGAAAAATTTGGTTATCGTAACAACATTTTTAGATCCTTACATGTTATAGAATAGAATCATTGCGATTCTCATATCTTGCACACAGTTTTGAATTTGGATATTCTCTCTGAAATAAAATTTTAAAGAAAGTTATAAAATCAATTTACATTTGACAATTTTGAACTCGAACATAGTTTTATTATTTTTGTTTTGTTTGACAGTAAATAGTTTTTTTTATCAGAGAGAGAGAGAATAAGATAGAAAATCGAAATTCTAAACGGCTTGATATGCACTCTATATCTAATACGATTTTTGGGAAGCTTTAATATAAAATCGGATGAAACTATAGCCACATCTGGATCGATTTGGTTCCAACTTGGTCTTTTCTAGTCTCTTTGGACCAAATACGTTTCAGGAAATTTCGAGTTGATCTAGCGATGTCCGTCCGTCCTTCTGTCTGGGTGGCGCGCACGATAACTTTCGAATGGGGTATCCGATTTGGTCCAAACTAAACTAAAATCAAGTTTGGGGATGGACAATATCGGTACACTCCTTCTGGTATCTGCACCACAAATGGTCGAAATTTTCAAAAAAAAAAAAAAATGAAATACACAGAAACAGAAAGAATAATTCGATTTTGCTCCAAGTTTGCAAATCCTAAAATTTACATTAGTGTACCACCCTCTCAAAGAGTCAAAATTTTGAATAATTGTAACTCTTATAAAATGTAATGTAAGAATCTCATTGTCTTAAAATTTCACACATCCCAATATTTTTAGAAAAATTAGGTTCTGGTGTTAAGATGAAATAAATCAGTCCACTCCTTCTGGTACCTCCCCCACAATGGATCGAAATTTTGAATATCCATTAAGCTCATAAAACGCGAAATTAACATCCGATTCCTTTTAGACTTGGCACATCTGAATATTTCTATCAACATAGGATCTGTGATAAAAATGGTAGAGATCGGACCATTTCTTCTGGTACCTTCCCCACAAAGGATCAAAGTTTTGTATAACAAAAACGTTTATAAAATCCGAAATAAGCATCAGGTTCTTTTTAGATTTCACACATCCCATTATTTCTACTACACACATGATCAAGATCACTACATCTGATGTGAAGATGGAATGTATCGGTCCACTCCTTCTGGGATCTCCCCCACAACGGGTCAAAATATTGAATATAAATGAAGCTAACATCTGATTCAATTCGAGACTTAGTACATTTCAATATTTCCATCAACATAAGATTTGTTATAAGGATGGTGGAGATTGGACCACTTCTTCTGTTACCTCTCCCACAAAGGGTCAAAGTTTCGAAAAACCAAAACTATTATAAAATCCGAAAAGAGCATTAGGTTATCTTTATATTTTACACATCCCATTACTTCCACTAACACATGGTGTGCTGTGAAGATAAAATGTATCAGTCCACCCTTTCTGGTACCTCACCCACAAAGGGTCACAATTTCCAATACTTATATATCTGTCATAACTTGCCAATCAAGTCGGCGATTCTTTACGACTTGCTATATTTACATATTTCTCTTAACCAGAAATCTGATATGAATATGTAATTTATCGGAATTTATGATTTCGTATAAAATTGGATACAAAATGTTCGATTTTCTTTTAAATTTTGCACATACCAATATTTTTATCCGCATTGGATGATATATTCGGTCCGCTGTATCTGGTACCTCTCTCATATTTCCATATTTTCCAAAAATTTTCACATATCTCATATAAAGTATACGAAGGTCAGATACGAATTGGTTAATATTGGCCAACTGCTTCGGTGCCTCCCCCTTAAAAGGTCAACAGTGTGAGTAACCATAACTCAAGACTTGGGGTATACATCTGTCGCCAAAGTCCACTGATACAATTTAACTTGTTATACACTCCACCATAGTATGGAGGGTATATTAAGTTTGTCATTCCGTTTGTAACAAGCAAAATGGTCAGGCTTTATCCCTTTATTGCTGTTTTTATAAAAACAACGTTTGTTTATTAGTGGAGAACGATTGTAATGTTTACTAGGGGGTAAGGCAGGGAATACCTAGGTTTCGGAAAGAGACACCAATACTCATCAGTTCCCTTGTTTTTGTCTGGGATATTCTCCCCAGAAGTTATTTTAAAAATAACTTCTATGACAAAAAACATTTTTTATCGTTCTCCACTGATAAACAAACGTTGTTTTTATAAAAACAGCAATAAAGGGATAAAGCCTATTCTTGATCAGCATAAAATTCTATGTTGATTTAGCTATGTCCGTCCGGCCGTCCATCTGTCAGTCTGTGGAAATCGCTTTAGCTTCCGAACGAAATGAAGTGGGTTGATAAAATGTTATTTAAATGTATATTATGTCTGCAGGACTTTTGGTATTGACCATGTAGGTCTACGTTTTGGTAAGCCCCCATATAATGGTCTCCATATTTTCGGTATTTTAGTGATTTAAGCGACATTATTCACCAGAAATATATTGAATTCGGTATTTGAAGTTTGTAATGAATACTGCAGCCTATGACAGAAAATTTTCTGTGCAGGTCCACGTTTTGGTATAGCCCCCACCTCCCTATATTCGGAATTTTGATGATTTTAGCTACATTATTCACCGAATTTTTTTTTCAAGTTTCCCATTTGAATATTGTAATGGCTTATGGCAAAATTTGCCTATGGTATGGCTAGATTCGGTATTCTTAAGATTTTAACAAAATTTTTAACGGATTTTATTTTTTTGAAAATTGCCAAATTTGTTCCAAATGGTAGAGGATATTCTCAGTTTGGCTCAGACGAACTTACAGCTTTTTTATTTGTTCTAAAAATGCATTATTTCATAAATACGATAATGAATCAGTCGGACACTAATAATACATATTTATTACTCAAGTTTGCTTCCTTTCCTCTTCTTTTTATTGTTGTTTGAATTGTGTATCCAAGTACTGATATTTATAAAATAAAACACATTCGATATTATTTACAAATACTCAAACTGCGTCATATTCCATATTGAAACGATATGTATTTCAGTGGATCATTCGGTAAATTTAATTTGTGTGTTAATGGTCCACCACCAACAAACAGCTGTGTTGATCAAAACGAGATAATGACCTGGCTACTGGCTAAAATAATAACCATTTTTGCGCTCTTTTCTTGATTGTCGAAAAATGTTTAATATCATTCTTTGATGGACACACATACATACATATGTATGTAGCTATAAAAACAAACACTGTAACAATTCAATTGAATTTTGTTGGTCATTGTGATTGGAGGTTCAAGGAAGTTTGCGGATTTTTTCATTGATTCCGCATAGCAAAAAAAAAACCAAAAAAAAAAATCCGAAACATATTTTTGTTACCTAATTATTTTATATACAATCGAATAATAAGATATTATTTGGATTGAAATACAATAAATTTTGTTAAATGTTGTTTTTTATATCCTCAGTCATATGGCTACAGAGGGTATATATCATTTGATACAGCCAAAACGTGCCTCATCGAAGTAACGGTTTTAGACCCTGGGTCTCTTTGGACCAATTCCGTTTCAGGACATTTGGAGTCGATCTAGCGATGTCCGTCCGTCTTTTTGTCTAGCTGGTGCGCACGATAACTCTCGAAGGGAGTATCCGATTTGATCGTATTATTATTATCAAACTTAGTTCGAGTTCGGGGATGGGCAATATCGGTCCACTCCGTCAAAGAAAATAATGTACTGCGTAGAAAGGGAAAGGAAAATCCGATTTTACGCCAACGTTACAAATCCTAATATTAGCATCAATGCTAGGTGAGGTGCGAAAATTGACAATATCGGTCCAGTCCATCAAGTACCTCCCCCACAAAGGGTCAACATTTTAAATAATTATAATTTTTACAAAATGTGATGTAATAGTCCGATTGTCTTCAAATTACATACATCGCTATACTTGTATTAACCCCAGGTCTGGTGTGCAGACAGAATATATCGGTCCAACCCCACAACAACAGGTCAAAATTTTCAAAAAAATATATATATTTTCTCTACAGAGAGGGAAGCAATAATCCAATTTTGCTCTTACATTGCATATCCCAAAATTTGCGTCAGTTTTAGGTAAGGTGCGATAATGGATAATATCGGTTCACTCCATCAAGTGCCTCTCCCACAAAGGGTAGAAATTTTGAATAATTATAACTCTTTTAAAATATGAAAGTCCGATTGTTTTCAAATTTCATACATCTTAATATTTTTATGAACCCAAGATCTGGTATTAAGATGAAATATATCGGTTCATTCCTTCTGGTACCTCCTCAACAAAGGGTTAACATTTTGAATAACCAAAACGATCATAAAATCGGAAATAAGCATCCGTTTCTCTTCACATATTACACACTTTACAATCTATATATATAAATGTAAGTTGTGTTAGTTACTACGCTTATAACTCAAGATCCGCTGATCCGATTTTAACGATTCATACAAATTCGGAATTGTCTCTTTTCCGAAAAGGATAATATTCAAAAAATCGCGTAAAAATGTGATATATTAACATTTTCATTTTGCCTTTTGAAATGTACAATAGTAATGTTTTATTTTGCATGATTTTTTTCCATTTTGACTTACTTTTTTCTAATGTACATTTGTAGTGTTTTTTTTATATTTTTTTTAATTCGAATATTAATACCAATGTATTTAATTGACTTGATTTCTTGAGAACTGAAATT